CTGGTTCAGCTGTAGTGCCCGTCCCGGGGGTTGGAGTAGCCGCAGTGCCTGTCGTTTTGTCATCAGATCCAGAGATCTTCTATCCCCCTTGAGGGTTCTGAATAGAGTTGAACAGGGCTCAGTAGGCACGGGCCAGGGCCCAGCACATTGCAGTGATTTGCATCTCTCTGGAATTGCCATGGTGACAGCATGCTTTCTCCAAATATTTTACTAGTTTTTCAGGATTCTGCATTTGTTCAGGGGTGAAGTTCCAAAACACAGGAGGTGACCACTGTCCTAGGCGCTTGCCCATACTATCCCACACACCCTGCCACTCATAACTATCCAGCCTCGGGGCAGATCTCTGGGTGGTATTCTTAAATAGTTGTTTAACCTTAAACAAGGCCTGAAACACATTCAGGAGACAGCAATAGGAACATGCTGGTTTAAACATCCCAAGGATATTCAAAATCCTCAAGAGCTATTGTAATCAGCCTGCAGGAGAAGGGGAAGGTGAAGGAAGCCATCTTCCCCATGAATTGGCTCTCCGAGGAGAAGAGGTAAAAAGTGTAATTATTAAGTTTCCAAGAGATAGCTCCTGAAGCACAGGGATGACGGCAGTGCTGAGTACATTCTCATGATCAATAATTTTATCATACCATAAGCCAGTGTTACATAGTGTAGCAAAGCGATAACCTTAATCCATTTCCCAGAGGTGACAAACCCCACATAAATACTGACAAACAGCAGTATATACAGCCAGTAAGGTGCTACATAACAAAACTCCAAAAACAGATCCAACAACTCAGAGCAAATAAACCAACATTGTGACCAGTGACTACTAAACTGACATAATGAATGCTTATAACAAATTTGTTTTAACCCACTCGGGTCAGATGTGTTGTTATCTCAACCCTTTGTGCCCCATGTTGGGCGCCAAAAACGACTGTAGTGGTTTAACCCCAGCCAGCAACTAAGCACCACACAGTCGCTCGCTCACTCCCCCCAGTGGGATGGGGGAGAGAATCAGAAGAGTAAAAGTGAGAAAACTCGTGGGTTGAAGTAAAGGCAGTTTAACAGGTAAAGCAAAAGCTGCACACGCAAGCAAAGCAAAACAAGGAATTCATTCTCTACTTCCCATTGGCAGGCTGGTGTTCAGCCATCTCCAGGAAAGCAGTGCTTCATCACGTGTAACTTGTTACTTGGGAAGACAAACGCCATCACTCCCAACATTCCCCCCCTTCTTTCTTCCCCCAGCCTTATATTTTGAGCATGACGTCATATGGTATGAAATACCCCACTGGCCAGTTGGGTCAGCTGTCCTGGCTATGCTCCCTCCCAGCTTCTTGTGCACCTGGCAGAGCATGGGAAGCTGAGAAGTCCTTGACTACTGTAAACACTACTTAGCAACAACTAAAACATCAGTGTGCTCTCAACATTATTCTCATACTAAATCCAAAACATAGCACTACACCAACTACTAGGAAGAAAGTTAACTTTATCCCAGCCGAAACCAGGACAGCAGCACATTGAAAATACAGATCAATAACCTTCCTCTAAACAGCAATGTTTATCCAGCTTTGACAGGCATGCTGCCCATGTCCTGCCTGTTCATGTAATCTATCTTAAAAAAAAAATCACCATTTTGGGTGATGTATTTTTTCAATCTACAGGTGTATTTTTCTTTTTATATCTTGGACAAACTAGCTCCATAGAGGTGTTGTTACAGCCAAAAAAAGATGTCAAATCATTATGCACATGATTTATCTTGACATTCATGAAAATGAATATATGCAAACTATTCTCTCCAAAAGCTGCTTTATATTATGCAAATTTTTTAACACTGAGCAAAGTGACAGAAAGTATTTTATATTAAGACTCTTCTTGTCAAAACTGTTTCTCAAAAAATTTTATGCAAGTGAAGTATCTCTAAAAAAATTGCTTTTTAAGGTTCACACTGCATACAAATACTTGCCTCGTTAAATCATGGTGAAATAACTCTTAACACAATTCACTCTGAATTCAGTATTACAAGGGGACTTTTCCTGCCCATCGGGTCATTCCCAGGGAGGATCATTTGTTATTCTATGTGACAGGAAAAGAGCAGCAAGAAAAGTTTCAAGGTATTGGAAGAACTTCTTACCTGATGGGTCTGTACCTGCAAAAGACAAGAGGTACATTAAAAATTCAGCTCTCATCTGTAAGACAATGCGAATCTAGTTTACAGAAAAGCAGTTCTCACTTGGAGCTGGTGAACATGGGATGAAAGCAGAGTGTCTCAGACAGTCTGTGCCACAGTTTGCAAAGAATGGCTGAATCTGCAGTTGAAAAATTCAGAAAACAGATACTATTCTTCAAAGCAATTCTGTTCCCCACTTTATTTCCCCCCCTGCCACTACATTCCCTGTATTTTAGCACAGGGACACAGAAATCCCATTTCCCTTCAGAAAACAAGATTAATCAAGAATTCTTACACTACACATTAAGAAGGCAATTTGCTCCTGGGGTTGCATACTTGCCATTCTACTCCACAGTCTCTGACTTGGCAACCCTATACTAAGGAAAAGCCACTGTCTACAGAGAACAGCTATATAAAAAAATTGTTCTTTCACCCATAATCATAATTTCCCTGATACACATAATTAGGGATTAGGCAATCTCAGAATAAAACACTGTGCAAAAAGCATAACATTCCTAAGCTGCTCATTGCCTTGTTGGTGAAGGAAGGACACAGGACAACAGTGAGATCCTACCTGTATTTTGTAGTTGCAGCAAGCTCTTATGTTCTTCTCTATTTTGATCGTGACATTCACTTGCTGTTGCAGTCCACCCTGCAGAAATCAGATGCAAGTTTAAGGGAAGTAAGAAAATAGAATGAAAGCAGGAAAAAAGAAGAGGAGTTGACATGAGACTATGGAGTGGTCCAAAGAAGCAGAAAATTTTTTTTTTTTTTTTTGGAACAAGAAGCCCACCGAGAACAAAACGGGTAAATGGTCTGGCCACCATCACTGCAGGTGTCCTGTGTGACAGATATGGTAATACAATTAAGGCAGCAGGCTAAGGCTGCACAGGTAACAGGAAACAATTAAGGATGTACATTGTATAACTTCAAATGTGTTAATTTAAACTTACAGTTTCTTAACAATGTAAATGTCTTCAGTTATTTAATGTGTAAACATCAACAAGCTTCCTTGTTTAATTAAAAAAGCTGTCAACACTGCTGCTTCTGACACTAGAACAGACAAATAAGTTGTCCTTGTTACCTGCTGCACACAATCAATATCATAACAATCTAAATATATTCTTTACAATGACTAGCAGATATATACTCCAAAATGAGGTATATTCCCTTCTGCCAGGGAAATATGCACACAGCTGTACCAGCTGTGTCAGTAATAACTTAATACATATTAGTGCATGCGGTACGAAGGGTTTTAAGTGTGGAAGGAATGGAAAGATGAAGCAAACTGAATGCCAATATATCTACCCTCCCCCAAGGAAGGCTGGGGACTGGTACCAAATATTCAGCATTTCTCCTCGCTCAGATGCCCAAAGGGGAATATTTCTTATGTCAGAAGACACTCTGGATCTACTTTGAGCTTCTCAACAACACAGGCTGCAAGACCTGCAGGAACTGATTCTCAGTTTAATTGAAACATGTGTTACAAAAACACTCATTCTTAATCTAAAAAAATTTAATTAACACCCCCCCCATCACATTTGATAAACTACTTCAATGATTTATTGAAACTTTGCACCTCAATTTTGGTTGATTTATTTAGTCTTATCCCCCAGGCATTGGCTTGACAAAGGTAATAAAGCCCACATAGTCAAATACCAGATTTCGTTTTTCTTTGCAGATGTTTACAGACTGCTCTACGCATTATAAAAACCTTTTTTGATCTTTTATCCACCAAATTCCTGAAATAAAGTTCCCCTTTCCAAAGATAATTAAAATTTTGTGAAAATAATTCCTTGAAAATTGCTGTACAATTGCATTCTTTGCATCTCCTACATCATGGCTCCAACTCCTTGTTTAGCAACCGTTAAAGAAACATTTGTCTAAATTACCACAGAGGATATAACTTAGGAAGGTAATTACCTCAGTGAAATCACGTGTGATCATTTTACACTTCTTCTCATTCAGGAAACTGGTCACATGAATTTGGTATCGGGCTGACTCCATCCATGGGTTAAAGCTCACAAGCAGAGTTGTATCATCTAGACTTTTACCGTGGATCCTGGGCTCCCACAGGCTGCCTGGAAGTAATGCAGATATTCGCAAGTTTCTCAACTGTTAGAAATATTTCAACTGGGCACCCATATCTACATGACTCAAACTGAAAAATTTTTACCTGTCTTTATACATGGGATGGTTCTTTTCATTAGAGAGTCCTTGCAGTCTGCAAGAAAGATCATCAGTGACTAGTCAGAAAAATTGTACTTCCATTTAGGAAAAACACCCATTTTCTTACCAAAAGCCAGACACCTAACTAAGCCCTCCTTCATGAGTAGAGACCTTTGTTCCAAAGCAGTAGCAAAATTCTGCAGCAGAATAGTATTGGTTTCCAATGTATAAACTAGCCCCTCCACTGATTTTATGGTGGGATTTTTTTTCCAGAACAGAGATAATTAATAAGAAAGGACTGAAAGCATACAATACTATTATAATAGTAATATTTGACAACTCTTGCTAATGTAAGACTTGTGCAGAGAGGGTCATAGTGGAATTAAAACTTCATATTGATGTCTGGACCTTGAGAGTGCCACAGCAATAGACTCCTCCAAAAGCATTCTGCCCCAGGAAAACTAGGAGGCTGGAATCTTTCTTGATCCCAAAACACTCTTCCACATTTATAATTCTCTTTGCTTCATTTAGCAGATTGGTCCTGCTCTTTGGGACTTTCTTCAGAGTCAAATCCAGAGTTACATATTTAACATTTGGCAATGTGGGATTTACAGGTCTCAGCCTAAACTACGTCTCTCCTCCAGGGTTTGGACACAAAGGAAAAGGAACAACTCCTTGCTTAAACAGCTGAAAGAAAACATTGCACATCTTAGATTTCCAACTTTCACATGTAAGCTCTAATCAGCAAAGCTCCCTGCAACTGCTGAGCTTGACACAATGCACTAAGTTTCTGAAGAACAGTGAAGGATAAAAGCCAGGAAGTTCTCAGTATGACCAGGTATAAGAAAGGATAAGAGGGCTGAAAACCAAGTGCCCCCTCTCCTTTTCCAGCTCACATTGACTGACACACCACATACTTTGCCATTTTATAACTACAAAGTCATGCTGACAACTATAAGCAAGTTAAGAAGAAAATTATGAACCAGTTTATTGAGTGCCAAATATTTATAAACTATTCAGTGCAGCCAGAGGGCACTGCAGATGCTCAGCATCTTCAGGGAAAATAACAAAACAAGTTCTTTTTAGTTATAGGAAAATTTTCATATACACAAGAAAAGGTCAGGCATTCAGCTCTGTCAAGTTTCTTGGTAAATTATGCCTAACTGTGTCTTTGTAATTAAACTTCACCTGTCTAAATTTAATATTAGAAGCCAAACTTTGCTGCTTCTGATTTGGAAATTCTGGCCTGTACTTCCAGCTTCCACAAGCAGAGGGGAAACTTTGAAAGATTTAAAATTAAGTAAAAGCTGCAGTGATAGTCTGCAACAGCAGGAAAGACTACTCTACAGCCCCATTCATGTAGATAAAATATCTTTGTGCCTGCTCCACTGATAAACATTTCAGCAAAAAAATCCAGGAGATGTAACTTATCTTCAAACGGCCCATCAGAAGGGCACCTATACTAGTTTTCAGGTTTAATTATGAATTTTTCTTTAACCATAGCTGTAGCAGAATTTTTGACAAGCTACAAATGCAATTTCTCAGAAATCAGAGGCCTAAGTCCAAGGTTTTGTCCTTTTCACTAGCTTTCTAGTGAGCATATAAAATTTTTGTAGCAGTATCTTCCATGTAGGAACTACACTCAACCAGAATCAAAGGGTCTGGCCTTCACAGAATAGTCCCTCCACATGCACATTATTCCACGCAGAGATTTGACAAACTTCTGGACACAGGATCCCAGCAATAAGGATAGCAACGCGTAGCACATGCAGTTTGGATATATACCACAGGGGTATTGTGGATAAGGCTAGGACCACAGACTTTCTAAACAGCAATATTCAGAAAGGACAACAGGTTTTTATAATACTGTCATCCTATTGCCAAACTTGCTCGCAGGTCATGGGTCTGGTCTGGAAAAAAACCTCACCTCAACCATAAATCATCACAGTGCTAAGCTCAAGGCCTAAGCAAACTAGAGCATCTCTTACCAGGCATTGTGAGAGACGTGGACTTGCAATTGTAGTCTCCATCTACACCCAATTTGGGCAGATGGTAGACAGTCACTTGGTAAGTCTGGCCAGGTTCCACTTCAAAACGGTCAAAAGTGAAATTCCACTGAAAATAAAATACATTCACAAGGACTTAAAATGAGAAAGTTGTCCTATAAAGGCACTGAAATTAACAGCTGACTTGGTCCTGTTCAACTGTGTTCCCTCATCCCTTATGACCCTTTTTCTGAAGCTTGACTATAAAAAACAATGGAACTCGGGTGTATTAAATATACCAGTCTTTTGGTCTATCTCAAATTCTTCTGTTTGGAATGAGAAAAGTACAGTTATTTCTTGGGATCTCTGAACTGATACAACAGTCTCATGCCAAACAACTGCATGGAGTTTCCACTTAATTACATTCTGAACTGAAAGGAAATGAGGCTAAAACATGCAGTTTTGAGACCAAAATTCTAGTCTAGTATGTATCTTGCAGTGCTGTGTAAGTGCTAAGCATTTAGAATTGCTCTTATACGTATATAGTTCTGTACCTGGCCATTCCATAAATATATTCTTAAATCTATACTGTTTTCAACATATCAGCAATGCTATGTAAATTCCTGGAGAGGCACTGGCTCCAGACAGTAAGCCAACTATGGCCCAATTCCGCATGATAACAAACTCCAGATTCCTATTGTTTGTAAAGGGAGCTGTGGATGCTCAGCATTTTTGACAAGTTTCCTAGACTCAGTGTAAGCTGAAGGACCACCCCCAAAGTTGGTGCTTTCCTCCACAGCAAGAAAGTACAAGAAAAAAGTGGAAGTAAAAGGAAGAGCTGAGTTAAAAAGAAGGCTATGTCACAGCTGTCAAGCAGGATGCAAAAACTCCTACAATTATTTGCTTTAAGCAACATCCAGAACAATGACATTCTTAAAACCTGAAGGATGGGAAGAGTGAAAGAGAAACCAGGATAAGCAAGCAGCTTGTACACAGCTACACACAAGGGTAAAACCAACTGGAAACGACAGCAGGACTCAAGCCCAGTATCTTGATTGTTTCATCAACTCTTCTAGCCAGTCTGTACTTTTTAAATCGATAACCTTGCTGTATAACAGTGAAAGCACAAACAAACCCATGGACTAGAAAAAGTAGCCTAGAGACCTTTGCACTCACCCGGCCTCCATCCGGACGGACCTGAAGTGGCAAGTTGTTCTGAAAGTCAAACTGGGCGCAGATCTGTTGATTGCTGTTCACTTGCATCACAGCCAGCTCTGCCCCTCGGAGATACCGGATGCTAGCTGCAGGCACAGGGACAGAGAGAGATGTCTTTTCCTGTCATCTGCACGTGTATAGGTTGCAACCCCCACAGAGATTACCACTGTGTCTAGTCTTGTCACAGTCTTACTCCTTTCAAGTGCTGGGGATCCCAACACAAAGATAACTGGCCATGAAAAAGTGAGCATGCAGGGTTGACTAACAGCACTTTCAGCTTAAAGGTTGTCCTGCATGGCAAGAGCTCCATCTGTGCAACTGAAGGGGCAGAACAGAAGGCAACTTAATTCTTCCAGACACCCTGGCAGTTCCACAGGTTCAGTGTTGTGTTTAGTTCTGCCTCTTAAGGCTGCTTCATGCAGTTTGGGCGCCAAAGCAACTACGCTTTTATTTTGGTACGGACAATCCCAATGAGAAAGTTTATAACCATAGCTACACAAAATGACTGGGTTACCCCAGTCACACCTGCTTCTACACTACTGAGATAATAACTCTAAACAGCCCTCAGACACAGGCCCTGCAGAAGGAGGAAATAAGTGTGTTTAATTCTGCCTTGAATCAATGCAAAACCATGGACAAGAGCATGCAAAGGAAACAATACAAACAAACAAAAAATAATCAAAGATACTTGGAGAGTGAGAAAACTTGACTTACTGGTACTCATTTAGGCTCCAACAATGAGACAATTATTCCTTTATCAAGACACATCTGCATATAGGAAACCTAAGTTACAAGGACTAGATTACCCGAAATGGGAGGAACTTGCACTGGGTTAACAGCACATAGGCTATTTGTGCTCTCTCAAATTAATTCTCATTTATTCAGTTCACAGATGTAATTCCCCTGCACGGGACTGCTGCAGTCATTATTATGCCTTGAAAAGGCAATGCTTGCAGTGCGAACCTCCTTTCTCTGCTCACTGCAATGGTAAAGGTGTGAGTCACTTGATTCCATTTTTAAATGCTTTTCCCATTTTAAATATCATAGTGGAAACATTTTAAATTCTTGAATACCCAGCGCACACACAAAGCCCCAATTCAGTCACCAAGAAAAAACAAAATCATCTCCCAAACCAAACAAAATGAAGCAGCCAAGCCCCCAAATTTCAAAGCTCTGCTTTCATGACTAGATCAGTAAGAGACTTCAAGCCATAATTCTCCTCCCTATCCTTACTAGATCACACTTAATTCCTCCGCGTCATGTTCACATTAAACAACCACCACTTACCATCAGTGGCCACTTTCCATTCTATCCGAAGCACAGGGAACAGGTTTCCATCCATCTGACGGAAAACATCAGAAGAGACATGAAGACTGCTTGGAGCAGAAGGAGTCCACATGGGAACCTGCAGCCAGCTTGCCTCCATGCAGGTACCTGTCCAGCAAATGAAAGCCATCATTTAGACCAGGGCTGAGGAAACTCTGCTTAATTGCAATTATGGTCTGCCCTTTGGGTCAGGGTTACTCAGAGGGCAAAACTGTGTGACAGACTGCTTCACAGTTCAGAAAGGTATTTTTCGGCACGCAAGTACTTTATAAATTGCCTGTAATATTCTGAAATCACTCGTTCTAGTAACTTACACTTCCTCTTTTCCTTAAAATCCATTAGTAATTACCACAATCAATGTAGTCAGGTTAAACAGGTCAAGTAAGTTTACTCAATATCTCCTGCAGCAAGTCCATACTTTGCTGCTGAAACAGACTAGTACTAATCTCCAGCCTCCCAATGATAAGAAGTCCATCAGATAAACCAGGGAAATTGTTCCAATAGTTAATTACTTTGTTTAAAAACTGCCTTACTTCTAATTTGAATATACATATGAATTTAGCTTCCAATAACTGCTTGTTATGCCTTCCCTAAACTAATGAGCTCTCTGGACAGAAAAATAATTTATGCTAGTCAATACAGTGTTAAGGAAAACCGGTCCTGTAATCTCATCAGAAAATGAAATGAGGTATGACAGGCATCAAACAGACATGATCTACTTAGACTTTTGTAAGACATTTGACTTATCAAAGCATATTAAAAATAGCTCTGCTGAATATCAGTGAAGCACAAACACAGGAAGAACTAGGCTGACAAATCAAAGAGGAGTTGCAAGTGGGAAATCATGACTGTTTGAATGTTTTAAATAGATCTGCAGGGGTGAGTGTAGGCCCAATGGTATGCATTTTTCTAAAAAATATCAACAATCTAGAAGTAAATACAAAATAACTGATGATAGAGCATATGATAACTGTCAGACTTGGGAGGAGGGGAAGGCAGAACTGTCAATAAAACATAATCTGAGTCACTTTGTATACTGGACCCATTCAGACAAAACTTCTGACACACTGTAATATATATCTAAGCACATATAGTGTAGGTCATATTTACCTAATGAGAGTCTGGTCTGGAATTTATTTATAACAGCATTTATTTATAACAGCACTGCTGAAAAAACTAGTAGAAAAACTACTGAACATGAGCGGTGTCATGCAATCTATGAATCATATGAACAGGCTAGTGTGATCACTGAATATATTAAAAAAAAGAAAAAAGGTAAAACGATTATACAGGCTTTGGAGAGATCGGTACGATATTCTTTAGCTACTTGTTGCATCCACACTAAACCACTAATGTTGAAAAGAGAACAACACAGAGCAAGACAATAAATTTGTAGGCTGAACTCCTGAAAAGCAAAACATGTTTTGCTACCAGTTTCACCTGATAGAAATCCATGCTGCTAATGAAAGGTTACTCTCTTGGCTACCTTTTCTACTTATTCCCTTGCATGGGTTCAAACAATCACAGGGCTGCGTGATGACTTGATTCATAAAAATGACCCGCCAAACAAAGATTTCACCATTTCCTTGGTGGGCTACTCCCTCAGGCAGAGCTCAAGGAAGCAGCCCAGCCTGCAGGCCCACCGCTGTTGGCACTGTCCCGGGGGAAGCGGTGGGAGCGCACAGACAGATGCTGGCAGGGACACAGGTAAGAGCAGCACTTTCCCCCCCCCAGCAGTTTGCCATTACACAGTGCACAGTCAGTCCCCCCTGCCGAAGTACGCTTTCAGTGACGGGAACAGTGGAAAGTGGGCACTATCCCTTCCTGTGACAGCATGGTTTTAGGCATAGGGAGTAATTAGACAATCCTCAAATGCTCACTCTACCAAAAAATATCTATAGAAAACCTGATAAGATTAAAGTACCTTTCAGAAAAGGGTGTACTAAGTACTAAAAAAAAAAAATCTTTCCCCTAGAGCGGAAAAACATAACAAGAACCATAAGGCTGAATTTAAACCAAATATTCAAACAAGGCAGCATTTTAATGGTGGAGCTGCCGTTTGGCTTAGCCATGTTGTCAAGCTGTATTCCAACGGCCGTCTGCCAGTGGGAAATATGATCCAATCCGATCCTACCCAATCCCTCTCCTGCCAAAAAAGTTTAAAATCCGGTTATTTTCAGCATAGTCATCTCTGTGATCTGGCATGCCAAGCATAGCTTCAAAAATACTTGAGCCAGTAAGATACAGGGTTGGGCACTGAGGCAGAAATTAGCCTGCTTAGAACAACGACTGCAAAGAAAGGCCAAGGAGTTCTGCAGTGCCATGCAGATGCCCCTGTGTACCAAAGGGCCAAATGCAGAACATTCTCCTTTTTTAAAAGATATTACCCATAATTATATTAAAGTGTTTCAGATGTGTGCCATTGCTAAGACTTGACCCCTTACACCTGATATGTCCAATATATTTGTTCAGTGGGACTTAGAGTAACTCCTTTCCTTTTTCAAATCATAGAATCATTTAGGTTGGAAAAGACCTTTAAGATGATCAAGTTAATTCATTGGACTTTATGCCAAATAATTTACACTAATTGCTCTCAGCTGCACCCCTTTATGACCCTTTTTTAATTCTAGTTCATACATTAATTTTTCATCAAGTACTATCATACATATAATACCTTGTAATGAACATTTACTGACAAACTTGTCCTAAAATTCCCATTTCTTTAAAAATTGACCATCCCAGCTTTAAATAGAAACTAAACAAGTTAGGTTCTGTTCCACCCACCCCATTCCCCACCCCCAAATTCTATCCTGAAAAAGATTTAACTTCCCATTCCTCTTTTAGCTGGAGCTGATTATGGATCAAACCGAAAACTACCAGAGCAAGGTGACAGCAGTGCTTCACTTTACATCTGATTCTACCAGGAAGAACTGGCTGTACGAACCCAGTTAAAAAAACAAAAAGCATGATCTGATGAAAAAACTGCAATGAAGAAAAAATATTACTTACTATTTCTTACGAGGCAGTTTAAATCCTGTGGGGGGAAAAAACAAGAATATTACTCTCAGAATAGAAACTGGATTGACAGTAATTTGCTTCTGCTTGGTGGCAGGAGGGGCAGGAAGCCAACAATTCAGTGAGCAGTGACGCACACAAACTGGAAAAATTAACCATCAAGAAACATCGCACAAAGTTGTTAATCAGAAAACCAAAGGACACAGGGCATGAAACCTGTGCACACCTGAACTGCATACGTGACAGTAGTAGTTGCAATAATGGAAAAAAAATTGGAGGGGCAAAAATACAAGATGATGATAGTGAAAACCTTCCAAAATCCAGGACTGTGAAAATAGAAACCAATGTGACACGAAAGACTGCTTGAAGTAGATGGGTATGGTTTTTAAACACCATTGCTTTAAGCACTGATCTTGCTGGTAATGCTTGCAAGGTCTAAGCTCATCTGACTGGAAGCACGAGCTCTCTACGGCTAGGCTTGAAGTACTGGATTACGTACTGCCTACTGCAGGGCATCCCCTTCATCTTACGTTTGCGTTCAAAACCACTATGCAATGACACTCTAAAAACTTAAATTCAATAAATGACTAGTAGGACACAGTGATGAACGGTTCTGTATTGCCTGAACAGAAACGCTGCATCAGTTACGGCTGGTCTTTTTCCTGATGCCTCATAAGAAGCAGGGAAGGGAAAAGACAACATTTAGTAAGTGCCAGGCTTGTGAGTAGGATATGGTGATTTTACTTCCTAGAAATATATTTGAGAGGCAACCCAGGAAGGAAGAAAAATTAATCAGAATTAGACTCTTTCATATTAAAGATAAAGATGTCCTGAACATAAAGAAGCAACCAGAAGTTATGTGGGCACTGCCTGGTTTCCCCCAGGTATGTTTTGTTTACACTGGAAGACCCCATAGTCACCAGGAAAAAGCACGTAAGCTTGCTTAGTTAATGTGATGCAAAATCCTAGTGATAAGGAAGTCTGAAGTTTTCACTGACTTAGTAAATCAAGATGAAGGCTAGGTTTCCTCCCACTCATGCCTTGACATATAAAGGTGGATATTATTGTCACACTGTTGCCACAATATAATTCATTCCAGTGGGGGAGGCAAGGCAGCAGGGTTTTTAACCTCTCTGCAACTTGTTAAAGTCAGCTCCAAGTGAATTTGGGGCTTAGCTTATTAAAGCAGTGTAGCCATGGCTACCCAAGTGATTGCATTACATTTTCAGGGATGGATGCTTGGAAAAAGCCAGCTGTGCCTTTTTGGTAGTGAACATGCCCTCCAGTGCAGCACAGGAAGCTGAAGTTTCACAGGCACTAAGTTGGCATTAGACACCATCACTGCCAGAGATGCAGTCCTAAACCTCCCTTCTCTTACACCCCAGCACTGCAGCCTGCCCTGTGCTGGCACAAGCATGCGTGTGACCACACGGGCACCTGGCTACAGCCTGAAACCGACTCAAGGGGAGGAAGGGAGGTCAGCTGCAAACCAGATCTTCTGCACCTCTGCTCCTGCTTGTACGGGAGAGGCTGGGAACAAACCACCAGGCCTGAGGAGGAAGGTGGGCACTGCTCTTTCACAGCTGTGCTGGCTTTTCTCTGCTTGTAACAAGGCAGAACTGCATCCTGCCTTTGAAGAAGTCCTAGTGAAAGCAAAACATCACATCAATTAATAAGCTTTTTATTATTTGAAGGAAATACAAAGTATAAGCAATCGGTTAAATCAGGTATCATACAAGCTGTGCTGAGCAACTGATCTCAAAAATGAGCAGAGTTCTACTGACTATGAAAAAGATAGTTCCGACATTAACACTCACATTTCAGCTAACGAATCTGTGTTCCTCCTGAGTGGAAGCAGGCACATTTGGCATTAAGCTCCTCATGCTTATATAAAAAATAAGACCTGAAAATCTCTTCCAGGCTTTTGTTACACAAGTCAAAACAATACACAGGTATAAATCCAATCAGGTACCCTTCACAAGTAACACATCCACACTCCAATAAGCAGGACTAGAAACATACCCAAGATATGGTATTTTGAAAAAGATTCAGTGCAACACCCAAGTTGTGTAATATTGACCAACTTTATTATCATTTAGGAAATATTTCAATCAGTTAAAAGGAAGGAATCTGCCTAACTGGCCACTCAGAACTTCTAAATACGTACAAATCTATATAACAATTTGCCTGAGAACTGAACTTCGGTGAAGAATTGTTTTCCTACCAGCCAACTAGCAACATTGTATTTTTCAAAATGAAATTATCTTTGCTGCACTAAGTTAGGACTAAGGCAACATCCCAGAGTCAGAACAAATATTCTGATTACTTTGCACTGTTAATCAAAGTTTCTTTTATAAATGAGGAGGGAAGGGGGATAAACAGAGACACACTTAACCTTTCCTTGTTGTTCTCTCACTCTGTCCTCTTCCTTTCTCCCCCAGTCCCCAGATATTAGCAGCTCACCTGCAGAAGACACCTGCCTTCTCCCTTACCTTTGCTCTGGATCTTCTTGAAGTTTTCAACTCACTGTCGGATCCCCAGCCACACTCCTAGGTTGTGGCACTAACAACTCTGGAAACACCCAAACAGGGTCTTGCTAGATGGGAATCTTGGGACAAATGGCCCCAAAAGCTGTGTAGCAGTGCCCTGCATGGGGCAGAGGAGCTCTAACATAACCAAGAGCAAAATAAATCTATGAACTTAATGTCAATGTGTAACAACATGTACGAGGTGCTTTTCACTATTTTTGTTGTGCTCAAAAGGTCAAAGAGCCACAACTACGGGAATCAACTTGATCAATTTGAATATAAATACAATTTAGTTTGAACTGTACTTTCACAATTATACTGCACCTTATTATTGCACACAAATCCTCCACTGAGTATTTAGAACCTGTTGGACTTAAGAAAAATGGGTTACAAGTATAGTTAATAGAAATGTTACTGCAACTTTGTACCTCCCACATCAGGTTTCTTCCCCTCCCGCCGCCCCCCCCGGAACACTCCCACGTAGCATCTGCAACCTAAATCCTTTGATAATGGGAAAAACCTAGAAAGCAAGCAAGCAAATGCTGATTAAACCAAACCAAAACTAGCTAAGATACAATCACTGAAAAAGAGAAAAATATAAATTGTAACTACCAGTATGGAAATGCAGATTAAGCTATGAAAAAAAATTACTCCTAACACTTCACTGCTTAATCAGACTTTCTTAGGTAAATTATTTAGCCTGACAATGCCCCTTGCATAAACAGGTACAATGGTTTTGGCTGGGATGGAGTTAATTTTCTTCACAGCAGCTGGTATGGTGCTGTGTTTTGGATTTGTGACCAAAACAGTGTTGATAATACAGGGATGTTTTAGTTATTAATGAACAGTGCTTACACAGCATCAAGGCCTTTTATGTTTCTTACACTGCTCCCCCCAAGCAGGTAGGCCGGGGGCACACAAGAATTTGGGAGGGAACACAGCCAGGTCAGCTGACCCCAACTGACTAAAGGGATACCCCAGACCATATGACATTGTGCTTAGCAATTAAAGCTGGGGGAAGAAGGAGGAAGGGGGGATGGTTGGAGTTATGGCATTTGTCTTCCCGAGTAACTGTTACATGTGATGAAGCCCTGCTTTCCTGGGGATGGCTAAACACCTGCCTGCTGATGGAAATCAATTCCTTATTTCACTTTGCTTGTGCACACAGCTTTTGCTTTACTTATTAAACTGTCTTTATCTCAATCCACAGGTTTTCTTGCTTTTGCCCTTCCAATTCACTGCCCATCCCATTGAGGGGAGAGAGTGAGCAGCTGTGTGGGGCTGAGCTGCCAGCTGGGGTGAACCACAACAGGCAACAAAAATAACTGGCTACTAACCATGGTTTTTCATTTGTAATTTAATGACTTCTATTAAAACCTATCACTTAATATTCAGTCATCTTGTCCTTGTGCTGTTGCAGTTACCAGTAATTATTGTAAACTGCATCATGATAAAGCCCTTATATAAATTATAAGGCATTATTTGCCTGAAGAGCAGCAACATCTGCTTTCATTTGAGTGGTGGTGTTTCTGTTTATTAGCAGATAAGACATGGTTAAATGAGGAAGTGCTGCATTTCCCCTTTTTTGTTTTATGATCAATATGAGTATTGAACCAGCACAGTGGGTAAATGGATTATCTCTTCCTCAAGGTCTACTGTCCCAGGTAAAGTGCTCGCAATGATGTTCCCAGCATCCATGAGGCTGTGCCCTTTCTGACATTCATTAAAAAGCCAAGAGCTTAATCAGGAACCATCAGTCAGTTGATGAGGATTCAGAACTGAAACTTAACAATTAAGATATCTGTTACCTTTCAACACTGGGTTTCTATGGGGACAAACAACAGTAGTTTTTCTGGTGTGTCACTGTCCCCCAACCTTACTCAGGTTTTCAAGGGGCTATCTACATATATTTTTTTCCTACCTCAGACTAGCCTGTTTACCTGCTGTGCCAGTAACATTTTTTTATGTGTAGCTGTCTATGTTGGAGTGTTTTAAGCTGCCACCAGTTAGTCAAGAACCTAGCAGGTTTACCATAAGAGCCAGGGGGAAGGATTCTCCCACCACACGGCAGCGTGCACCAACTCAATTGTTGGTCCATTGCCTTCCCAGTCCCCCAAAGCGCTACAGGGATGACCTAACAGCCCAAAATGCCCAGAACAATTCATCCAGCCAGGAAGTCCTTGCTATTGGCATAATGAAGCAAAGATAACAGAAGGAGAAGATAAAGTCACAATGCAGGCAGAGATATAACCACCCCAAAGGATACCTAGAAAGCAGTCACCATGCAAACTCTCATCTCCTTTTTGGATACTGCCTAGGTGAACTGGACTGGGCTAGGCTGCAGCTGAGGGCACACTTTTATACCAAGAAACCGTAACTCCAGAGAATGACATCCAAAAGCCAGAAAGCAATTAAAGAAAAAGACACATTGGTTTTGCAGTAAAATAAGTCAACTATTTCTAGATTTGTACTGGCTACCTCCTCAGCACCAGGGGGAATACCTGCTGGTTTTTCCTTGTAAATGTCCAACCAATCCAAAACCTTATCTGATGCATTGGCTCATTCAGAGTGCATTAACAAAACTGTGGCCAGCAGAAGTACTTAACCTAGTTTCTCTACTTGAGCAAGCACAAATTTAGATGATACAATAGAAATAAAATTACAGCGATGATTGTTTCTGCTTGCCCACATAAAGCTAGAAGCAAGTAAGAAGCGTTGACAGAATTGCGACGTGTGTCAGTCCACACAGACAAGCAGACAAATGGGAGGAAAAGGAAGAAAAATGAAGAGCTCTGCAGAAAGGCTGAAGATGGAGCCCACAGCCAGGCAACATGCTCTGCACATTATTATAAAAGAAGGGGCTTAAATTGAGATCTTCTCTTCTCATCAGCTTCCTATTGCCTTGCACGCCCAACAAGCAAAACTACAGACATGGGAGGCATAAATACGAGAACAAGACGATTGTGAGGTGGTGCCCGAAACTATTATCAGCAGAGGAGTACAGGCACAGTCAACTCTTCATGTTTACTTGCCATATTTTCACAGAAAGCTAAGCAACTGTTTCTTTCACTCTTTTTTCCAAGATTTTTCTTATTTTTGACATCAAAAAAGAACAGACCATATGCCATGGAGAATCATATGAATCTGAAAAAAAAGGGAAACTGATTAACAGCACCATGTCATAACAATTCAATTAAATTAATAGGAGGCCAAGATTTCCCAGCAGGATGCTGTGGTAACTAGCAAGAAACTGCCGTGAGCTGGGCAAGCATCCAGTTTTCTTTTAAAGAGCAGCTGCTGAATGGGAAGGACTCCAGCTTCCCAAAATCTGCCTCTCACCTATAAGCCATTCCACATATCTTCTGAGGCTTGGCCAATTTGAAGTTTACTGCAGTTTCCCTTTCCTGAGCCCTTAGTTAAAAGAAGCAGAGATCAATAGGACATGAACATGTTACAGGAATAACTGCTGAAAGATGATTTGTTTAAGACTAGTAGGAAACAACTATCTTCTACAAAATTGTTTTTATTTTTTAAGCATTTTTCTCTGTAGTTTCTAAGTTTTTCTCTTGGCCTCATATAAATTCTCAGCAAAATCAAATCCAAACTCAAAAGTTGAAGCTTCTTGACAAAAATCAGTTTTAAAGTTTTATCATATTTCGGTAGTTTTGATCACTAACCCTTTTTATGCTAAAGTTTGGTAGTTTTGATCACTAACCCTTTTTATGCTAAAGTTTGGTAGTTTTGATCACTAACCCTTTTTTATGCTAAAGTTTGGTAGTTTTGATCACTAACCCTTTTTGTGCCAAGAAATCCAGAAATATTTTAGCAGCACTAAGTGTGACCATGGTTTATGGTAACATCCTACACAGCAAAAAGATGCCACAGAGGGGAATGAGAGAGGTCAGTCAATAGCAAAGGCAAAATGAACACACCTTTGTAAAGGAGGACCAGGAAAAGTCTTCCTCACATGCACGACCATCGTTCACCTTCATGAAAGATGTTGCATCAGTTGTTCTCCAGAGACTTTTAGTGAATATCCATCAAGCTGGCAAGATGGATTTCAAAGACCAAACTATGTACACCTATCCAGCCCCTTAAAGATGGCACGGTTATAAACACTGCATTCCTCCAGGACACGAGGCATGCCATGTCGTGAAACAGTTACGGCCCAATGATTGAACACAGTGATTAAACACCTGATGGTGAACAACCAGATAGGTATTTAAACTGTGGGATGTTTTTCCTCTGTGCATAGAAAAAAAAACCTGAACCCCACCTCCCTGCAGATGACATATTCAAATAATAGTTACTAGAAGGAACTGGATTTGCAGCTATGCTATTCAGCCTTACAGTGGAGCAGGTTTGATGGAGTGGTGGTGAATAAGACTCATTAAGTGCATTTGTTGGCATTTTAAGAAGATGAGCTGTTTATGAGCGTTTAGTTTTACTTTCACAATTTACAGGTCTCTACCGATACTGATACGACACTTTCCCTCCACCACTCCATCTCCAAAACAGCCTCTGCCACCTGAGAGCTTTGCTGATAAAACTGCTGTTGCTTGCCCTGACCTACTCCGAAGCTCAGCAACTGCAGCGTGAGTGTAGTGGGTTAGAAAAAGGAAGTGGGTCTCACCAACCCTGCTCAGCAACAGCTTCCCTTTTGAACCACACTGCAGTCACTCATTGGAAGGGTTACTGAATCATCCTCTGAAAACAGTGCAACTGACAGAAAGGGAAGGGGGATATTGTTTTTAACTGTCATAACTTCAGTTGATGGTACTTTTTCCTGTATGTGTCAGCAGCTTCACAATTGCTTCTAAAGAAGCTGCTCATCAGCTCATTTTTCTTAAGTCTGTCTGCATTTTAGAAAACGGCTTACTGAAAGACAAGGCCAAAGCAGCAGGCTTACACATTCACTGATCTATGAGCACACCCAGAGTGTGAGGCAACACATTTCCTCAGTGAAAGTTGGTGATGTACTGGTGAATACCTCACCAAGTTACTGTGGTTCACATTCCCTAAAAAAAGAGGTACAGCCAGGAGGACAAAGTCAGTCGAAGCCCAAGCATCCAACGACTCACAGAAACTCTACAATGTATTACTCAAGCTCTGTGTGACTAACAATGTTTGGGATACCCATGGTTATGTTAGATGCCTAAGCAATATTGTAACATCCTCTTTCCCCTTTGCTAAGATTTTCAATTTTGTAACTCCACAATGTCCAGCCTGAAGTAAAATTGCAGAAGTGGACTGTTTTCTTGGGGTATTTTTAAACAGGAGCGAAGGCAGCAGAGCAGAGATCAGGTAAAACAGAGGTAAATATATGGTCAAACATTGGAAAGGAGGCAGAACAGACAAAGGATAGGAAACATGTACAGCAAAAATTACAGAAGCTTTCATCCCAAAGGACACATTTTGGTTTACGTATGTCTATAGCTACATCCAACTAGCTGCCCTCTCTAGACTGCTGAGAGTGCATCATGACATATAAAACTTTCCAGCTTAGAAGACAGCTGCCCATTATCCTGTTTATGCATGTACAGCTATTGTTAACAGAAATAAAAAGCAAAAACAGATCTCTTCCCCCTCCTACACACTCTTTACATGTATCTTGGACAAAAAAAACCCCAAACAAACAAACCCCCAAAAACCCCAGAGAGAGACACCAGGTAGGAGTTCATACTTTGGGCTGCCAAAGTTAGCTCAGGTTGGTTAGTTCACTTCTTATATAGACACCACATCTGCACCTCTCAATCTATATCCTCTCTGGCTGGTTTCACGGGGAGAAGAGGCAACCAAAATCTGGTTTTTCACAATTTCAAGTACATATAATGTTTGTTTACCTACTCCTTCAGCAGAGATTCCCTGCTTCCTCTAAAAACCCCTCAGCTGCAAGGAACAGGTTAAAACATTTAGGAAATTAAGCAACCTCAGCTATTAGCAAAGACTCACATCCTGCTCAGTAATTTCAGGCAGTTTTAGCAAATCTCAGCCCCAGCCATGGCCCCTCACAGATGTTAGCGACAGGCATTTCCTAGCAGCCATCACATAGCCAGGCTAATTCTGCAGTATTTATAATTCTAGTTTAACATTAAGTTAATGCAATTGTGCGCTATGTACAGTTGCTTTGATACACACAGCCCACACCAACCACAACCAACCCCCCAAACTGTACAAAACCAAATACCGGGTCTTAACTGAGCAACACAGCGTGACACAAGGACGAGGTCAGCAGCAGGACCATAACCGCCACCGACCTCGGACGGGGCACCCAGCTGCGAGGTGGGGGGGACCCGTCCGCCGT